AATGGCCTTTAAGGTCTTCAAAAATAAACTTCTGATAGATAATGTTGGATTACAAGCTTTAATTCAACCCATAACGTTCCACCTTAACGTTTCAACTGGATGTCATCTTTTTTGAGATCCTATTTCCCAAAAAAATACTTTTCCAACGATATTTTATCAAGTTAGGTGCTGAAACCTCTCACAGAAGACTCTCTCCCAATTATTAAATCCCTAAATATCCTAAGCAAGCTCTTAACTATGTCTTGCAGACTACTACTTGTAAGATTCTATCCAAGTAGTCCAAGTAATTCAAAATATCGTCAGATAATAGAACAAATAGTTATCTCTTTTGTTACAGAACAATATTCCACCTAAATGCTCCAGAAACAGTCCCCAAATAATAATCTAGAAAGCACATATCCATTATCACCCTTTATTCCAATTGCAATTTCCGTAAAATATCCCCCCAAAACTACACACAAACTAAACCCAACCAAACACTCCTTCTATGGACTACTCTTCCAATTAAAGTCCCAGGCACAAAGCCACAAAATAACAGCCCTAAGAACTCTTTGCCAACCCAACCCCTTAGAGCCAGCTTTTGGCCATTACTGTACCAAAAATCTCCCTCCTTGCTTATAAATCGAACTAGCAGGGGCACTCCACCACCCACATCTTCGTCTGTTTGGACAGATATTGGCCTAAGGGCCATAACCACGAAAGCCAGAAGTAGAAGCCACCCTGCCCTTCCCCGCCCACCGCCAGTTGGGGCCACGCCCAGGCAATTGCGTGGGTCAGGTAGACTGCAATTGGCAGTTAGACAGACACACATGGGGCAGAACCCACTATCTAGGGGGGTGGTACGGCACGGCAGCGAACAGCAGCTGACACAATAATCAGAGCCCCCCGAAAGCACATACGTTGCGCATACGACATGTGTGACAACACATTCTGCCGCTTCTAGATTCGACTTCTACTTTGCAAATTGACACATGAAAACTAAAATTCTGCTGGAAAGCAGGCGGCCACTGCATGTTGTGCGAAATTATTGACAAGGTGTCCTGGCCGGTTCACCTCAAGGGGTGTTCCGGGAATCACTAACAAGCCAAAACCGGTACGAAATTATATTCAAAAATATCTAGAGGGAAGACGAAAATTGTTTCTGGGAGTTATAGCAAAAGGAAAATAACGAAATTGAAGTGTAGCCCAAAGGAATATCGAAATTTCTAATAAAAGTAAAGCAGGCTTCAAAGTTGTTATTGAAACCTTTAAAAACGTTTGTTGAAACGAAAGTATACCGAAAACTAGCCCTAAAACCGCTCACAGCCAGAAAGCCTCTTTAAGCCCAAGAGCTATGCTAAATATAATACTAAAATCACTATCAAACCTGAAATTATAAAATCGGAAAATGGTCTTAAAATCTCCAATCTTTCACCAATTTCACAGAACACATCGGACGAATACGATACCCTTTTTTTGGGGAAAGTATCTCCCCTGGCCTTCTGCTGACCAGAGTCTATTCCACAGGGGGAGCGAGGGGTCTCCTCTCTCTACAAACAACAACAACCAGCTTTTAGTAGAAATATCCTCGTATATATATTGTATATTGTACATTTCCTGGTGTCACGTGCAGAGCGCTTAGCAAAAATGTTTCTTGGACATTGGACATTGTATGCTTGTGTGTGTGGCTAACAAGATTGTGTGTGTGTGTGTGTGTGTGTGTGTGTTGGCCAGAAGCTTTACGCTTCATTTAACAGCTCTTGTTGTTGTATATGCTTATTATTTTTTGTGCCAACAGCCAGCAGGAACAGCCACAGAGGAGAAAAGTCTCCTTAGTTGACAGCACCCCAGAGAGGAGTCAGAGAGAAAGGACTGCGTGCTGACTTCATATTTATGACATTTATGCAACATTCATTATGTGTGCAGCACACGACACGACGACACTCTGCCTCTGTTGCCTCAACCTCTACATTTTTGCCACACAAAAATTAATATCTGGGCAACCGGCAAACCGCAGTCAATTTTGTGGTTCCTCTGGTCAGAGTTTTTAGTATGTGAAAACTGTGTGTTCACTTTTACTCTCCAAACGAAACCTCGGGGCAAACGTTGAACAAGGCCAAACAGTTTTGTGCCACTTTTTGGGGCACAAACATGTTGTTAAATGTTGTTTTAGATTTTTATAGATTTTTGACAGGACAGGGAAAGGCTTTAAAGTAAAGTGGAAAAGTGTTCAAGGCGGGAAGAGTTTAATGGAAATGATTTCAATGATTTTTCTACTATATATTTCCCTAGATATCGATGGGAAATTGGCTTTTTTATTTTCCCTCAATTCAATCACAAAACACTGGTACATTTTTGCGAATTTTTGTATAATCTTATTTCCATAGCAAAATACTTTTCAATCCTACCTAAATTTATTGAAGCTTCTATTGAAATTTAAACCAAAATCAATACCTCAACGTGTCTGCCCCTATTTTACCTTTTTACAGAGCCATTTCTCTTGCAATGCCATTTTCAAATTGCGTACAAAACAATCACGTAGTATCGTAAACCGCAGGCAGGCATTAAAAATAATAAAGAAATCAAATGGTAATCAATTGCCGTATAAAACGTGTAGAAAGCTGGGCTAAAACTGCTACGGAAACCAACAAAAAGAAAAGCAAAATAAACGCGGATGGAAAAACAAACGCTTGCCAGCCATCAACAAAGTAGTACAAAAGTTGTCCCCTTTTATGCCACATAAAAGAAAAACTTGAAGTGCAACCATAAAAGGCATCTGGCTCGGTCATCTGCACAGGGGATCGGACATCTCCCCAGCAGAGGGAAACACTCAACACTTCAGAGGGTTGAGGGGGAAAACTGGTTGAAAATGAAGCGGTTTCGTCCAACCCTTTGCCCCATTTGACCTTTTCAATCCGCAGCCATTGTACGCACCATTAACCCGAAGCACCGGGCACCGCTTTTCTCCGGGCTTTTCCCATTGAATTATATGCTGCGAACTGATTTTCCAAACGACGTAGAGGGGGGCGAGAGCTTATTGGGTTTTTCCCTGGCTTCGCTGTCAATTAGTGTGACCGACGACACATAAATTCCAATTGTTTTGACACCAAACGAGCGAAAAAATAATGAATGGCATGAAATTAAGTTGTCTGGCGCGTGCCCCTCTACATACGTGTATTCGCTAAGTTCATTTACCTTTTATTTTTCGGGAATAGGATACAAGCTGATGGGATTAAGGTGACAGACTGCTTATACAAGAGGAATTTTGATGCAGGAAAGTGTTTGTCATTCAATTCGAGTCACAGAATGCGATCCCAGTTTCCTTTGAGGATGGCCTTTGTTCCGGGAGGCAGCACTCGGTCCCAGAGAAGCAGAAACAAAACATGCTTTTTTATTTAAAGTCTTTGGTATTCTTTGGTGGATTTCCCACTAAAATAAAAAAATTTCTCCCTCAGTTTAGGCCACAACAAATATTCCACCAGTACCAAAAAATGTTTGCACTTGGAAAAAATTTGACTTGCAAAAGCAATTTCCGCAAATTTCACTTTCTTCTTTCTTTTGACACGAGAAAAAAAAACTAGAGACCGTAAGGAAGAAAGAAAAACTTTAATAGAAAAAATATGTCAAGTGTCGGGCGCTTACTCAAGAGACAGAAGTCGGTCAAAGAATTTTTCATATTTTGAAGAAAATTAAATAAAACTTTTCCACCGAGATTTTTGGGTATGCTTTTACTTAACTTATTTTCGTCATAAAACAAAAGCTGAAAAGTCAAGGATTGTGTTTTTGTTTGCGGTTGGAATTGGGATTTTTCCCAGCAAAAATGCTGAAAAATGAAAATTGTTTTCCGCGACGACGGCCCACGTGGCACGAGCGAGCCTAATAAAACCAATTTGCGTCTGCCAACACGAGAGCTGAAAAGCCTGGAAAAACAGGAGGAAAAACAATGCCAAGCAGACAGAAGGCAGGGCCTGAAAAATCCGCATAAAAAAGAGAACAAAAACAATAAATTCAATTAACTTTCTCTGCTTCTTGTTCTCTTTTTTTTTGGTTGGGGGCTTTGGATGTTCCACTCTGCTGGCAAAACATCATCATCCATTTTCCTCCCGAGGGGAAAGCTTACTTAACGCCATTTTATGAGCTGGCAAAATTCTCTCTGACAGTGAAAGTGAGAAATATGTGTACAATAAGCAACATGAAAGCAAATTAATTTGCTTAATTCGCAGATACGATTTTTTGTGTTATCTTTTTTAGGATTTTATGCCTTTTGTTGATTTATTAAAAGTAATTTTCTAAAACATATATTTTTTTTGTGGAGCTTAGTTAGAAGATAGTCCCTTTTTTATGGAATTTTACACTAATTAAATTATATTTGGTTTATGGGTATTTAATTAGACCTGCCAACGAGTTAAATTTTAAATGTGGAAATATCTTTATTTATGTGACAGATAATTTGATTTTCCAAAGGGATAATTTAATTAATAATGGAAAAGCGAAAGCTAAGTGTCAAAAACATAGAAAATATGTATGGAAAGTGGCATGAAAATATGTGAAAATGTAACCACAATTTTCATACATTTTTAAGCATCCTTTTTTAGTGACAAAAACAAAAAACTCTTTAAATCGTAGGTATTTTCAATCAATCGATTTATGAACTATATTTTATTCGAAATATAAGAAATTGTATACCATTTTTCTGCTGAAAAGTTCCTCTAAAACATGGATTATATTTCCACAAATCCTGCCTCACTGAACAAAATTAATGAATAATTTACAAAATCATGCTCGGATAACTAAATAAAAAAAGAAATTACCATTAAATAAATTCCAGATTAAATTGTATAATTTAAAAGCAAACAAAATGGATACAAAATAAATAAATAAATCAAAATTATGTCAGACAAATCCGCTTAGGAAAATGCCAAACACAAATATTTTCCCTTTGTTCGATGGGGGGATTTTCTGTGTACCAAATTGTAAAACCAATTGTAATTTTTGCGACTTTTCTCTGGATATATTTGCAGATCCCTGTCATCCATACGAACCATTCAAGTGCCCCGGCGATGGTAATTGCATTTCCATTCAATATTTATGCGATGGTGCACCCGATTGCTCTGACGGATACGACGAGGATATGCGTCTTTGTACGGCGGGTAAGTCATCCTTCCTAAATCTCCTCCCGAAATATTTGTGCATAAATATTTGTGGGTTTTCGCTGCTTAGAGCTATCAGTGATTGGCATTTCTTTTTCGGAGAAATTCTAAACATATTTCACTGCAAATGAATTATGTAGCCCGGGGCTGCCACATCAAAGTTTTGGCTACTCTGCCGTCCTGCACTTTTTGTGGCAGCTGCTCATCTAATCAAATTATAACAAGTTGCAGCCAAGTTTTTGGGCCAAAAGTTTCACTTGTTTCTGGATTTCAGGGTCAGGGGAAATGAGTTCTATGTCAAGCGTGGCAAGACTCTGGAAAGTTATATACATTTTGCTGGAGGAATTTGTTTAAGAATGAGCGATGTTTGGGGAGAGGAATGAGAGGAAAGAATACTTCAAAGGAAGTACATTTTAAAGCTCTTCCAGGACTCTGCTTTCCTGAAGAATGTGCTCTTAAATCGCATCTTCTGGCGCTCTAAAATTCATAGATTCCAAGGAGAGGAATAAAAGGAAAGAATGCTTTAAAGGAGGTACATTTTAGAGCTCTTTCAGGACTCTGCTATGCCTCCAAAATTCATAGATTTCAAGGAGTTCTCTTCTTTCTTCGTTAAAGTGTTTCCCATTAAAATTTTCCCATATTATGTCTCAGTTTTCCTTTCATGAAAAAAACTTCTTTAAAGACTGCATCACACCCGCAACCCACAAAAACCTTTCCACACCAGTAGCCCCCCACAGACTGAATTGATTTACAATCGATTCAATAATGAAATCAAATTGAAAGCCAATTAAATGAAAAGCCTTTATTGATTCGGGGAGTCCGTAAATGCAATTAAAATATAAGTGAAACGATTCACAGATAGGTGGAAAATATAATACCATGCAAGAGTAATGGCTACTAATTTATATATATATAGCTTTCAATAATTATGTCATTCTTTTCTTTGATAAATTGCCAAAAATTTTACACCCATCCATGAGCAAACAAAAGACCCACAAATTGGACTGGAAACTTGAGGCTAAAACAGCAAATTGTTGCTGCTAATTGCCGGCCATTCAGTGTTTTGGCCTGAAAGTGGAGACTACACTACACTTTTCCCCAAACTCTGTTTCCCATTTTCCTGCCCTCCCACTTTCCCAGCACTCCCACTTTTCTCTCTTTCTATTCTTTCATTTTCCTGCTCCCTTAGTTCCCGTTCCGCTTTGGTCTGAACAATGGCATAAATTTTCCCTGCTTTTCCAACCATTGTTCGCGCGCTCGCGGATAAAATAGAAGCGAAATAAACTATGTTTTCGACAATGAAATCATTTAGGAAGTGTCGGTGGCTCTGCCACTCCGGCTACCACCCCGTGAATGTCTTTGATAAATTATGCGTCGGGTTTCTTGTTACCAGGAGAGGCTACACCTCGCCCTCCCGCCCCAAGGACTGCTCCTCGTTTGTGGGTCTCCCAGGCAACAGTTGAAAGACAAAACGAATGCTGAAGGCCAATTTTTTGTTGCTTGACTATAAACCCGACTCCGGCTCTTGTTTAATTGCTTGGACGTACAGTCCATATCCTTGAGGCGAACACAAATTGCTGCTTAATGGGTAATAATTAATGTGCCAACTCCTGATTGCAAAGCGAGTAAAACAAAGAGTTGCAGAAGAGCCATTAAAAAGTGAAAAAACACAATAGAAGAGGAACAGAAGTCAACGAAATTTTCAAGAAAAATCTGGCATAAGATTTATGAAGAATTTATTAAAGAAATAAAAAATAATGAGGTCTTCAAATGGTTACAAATGCCAGGAAACTGAGCCTTAATTTTTTACAAAAAAAAAAAACATTTTTTCCTTTCCACATTGAAGGATCAAGGTACATCGTAATACAATTTGGAATAGCTATTCCATAAATTAATTTCAATTATATATGTATGTATGCACGAGTATGTAAATCGGAAAAAAAACTTCATTAAATGTCCAATAGGGCAAAATTGTTGGACCATCTTTTCGGGGTAAACGGTAAAATAAAACTTGGAATAGGTAGGTCCCATAAATTAAGTTCTCTTATTTATGTATATATGTATTGTTGGACCATCTTTTCGGGGTATATTGTTGCATACATTTTCACGGTGCTGGTGATAAAAAGTTTGAAAATGATAATTCACGTAGGGGCGTGTTCCAGGGTATACAGAGAAGCAGTAATATTGTAAGCTTGTGAGCCCCCCAACGAGTGGGCACTCCACCACTACGGCTGCGCTCCTCTAACGGGTCGACGGGGCGATGCTCTACATAAAGACGATCTTCGTTACGTCGCGACACCGCTTTGCCTGCCCCTGGTCATGGACGCAGGGCCGGTGTCGCTTACGCTGCTGGTCAGGGTTTGCCGGGACCTGGGCTGCCACAACTTCTGGCACCTCTCCTGGCACAACTACTGGCACCTCTGCTGATACCACTCCGTGCCTCAATCCTTGCAACACGGCTGCCACCATTTCTGGCTCTATATCAGGAGCAACACTAACAGGATGAGACCTTCCAGGGACCGTAGTGAAAGACATGATCTGAAAAAAATTAAATTAAATAAAAAAGAATACATTAAACAGCCAGCCATGGGAGGGGGTAGTAAATAATTTAAAGTTCATTTTAGGCACACACACACACACGGACGCAATGACATGCGTCTGATGCCTACAAAGAAACACGCAAAAAAGGTACACACACAAACACAAATGAGTAAAGACATACATATGAAAAAAAAAACACATACAACCGACAATAAATAAATTAAATGCTTTACTGAAACATTATTCATGTAAATCAGACTGCAACAAAACAACAACACGAGACAGATATGATGAACACAAAAGGAATTACATGTGAGCAAAAGCGCTCGCGATCAAGCAAAATCTTCGTATAAACTAGTCGGGAGAAGAATATGAAGAAAAGGAGAAGAGAAAACACACACTCGCAGACAACACGCAGCACATTGTAAAATGAATCACGCACACACATGGAAAGGAACACGGTAAAAAGGCAAGGAGAAGGCACGAAAAAATAAAACGCGTGGTTTTTCAATTGGATTTTCACGGCTCAATATTTGTTTGATCCAAAAACACATTTCCGAAATTAAACATTTAGAGACATTGCAAACGCATAATTTCACCGTTTAGTACACTTCACTAAAAGCTGAGCGGCACTCACACACGGAATGGGAAGAATGGAAGAAACGCGAAACGAAAGCCGGCAGGCGGGGACGGGAAAAAGACGCACGAAAGCGTACGTGTTAGGTACACACACACACCAACACACACTCACCCGCAAAATGACAGGCGTCTCGTCCGCTCCGCAACGAAAACTGAAACTTATCATATTTAAGAAGATTTGCAATCAAAAATCAGTACACAAGTCTGCCATGGAAAATTCTAGGGAGTCTCACACACACACACACAACAAAGCTTCTATGCCACAGTCAGGACAAAAGCACAAAACCCAACAACAGAACCAACTTAAGTAAATGCTTAAATGAATATTGTTCAGGGTGTGTTATAACTTACTTGCTCGCAAACAATTATTTCAGAATTTCGCTAAAAAATGTATAGACGCCACACGTTGGTTGAAAAATTTTAAAAGAACCGATGTGCAGACCAGCCAAGATGAAGCCTTAATCGATAGTAATCGATATGGGTAAGGTTTCTTTTTGGTATTTTGTCGCCACGTGGAGAACTATGGATTGTAGTGCTGGGTAAAGATCGTTCATTTTACTGAACAAGTTCGTTCGTTCATTTTCATGCAGTGAACTAATTTGATCTTTTAGTTCGTTCCTTTTTGTTCATCTTAATCATTCTTGTTCATTTTTATTTTTTGTTCAACAATGAACTAAAAAGAACAAACGAAAACGGCCGCAGTATTTTGCCGTAGTGGCCATACGAGTATGGTCACACAGAAACGCTTCTTGCCTTTATCCTGAGCATCCTGAGACCAACGAACTTTGGAAGCACAACCAGCCTAAGCATATAAATCCGATCACCCACTTGCCATACTTTCTAGCACTGATATCTTTTGATTATTTTCCACAGACCCTCATTGCGAAATGGCTGTCATATGTCTTCTATAATTTGGAGAACCGTTTTTCTGCATATAATTAATTTATAATATCAAAAATTTGTACAAAAATATTGAATTAAAATTGAATATTAGCTTGTTCAGAAGAGGGCGTTCTGGGATGGGGGATCTGTGGACCTATTTGATGATTTCTTAATATTTGTTTTTGTTTCTTCCTTATTTCTTTTAATATCGTTTATTGGAACCTCAATCGCCACCTTTGCCGCCATCTCGACCTCCGCCTCCACCTCCACCTCCGGAACCTCCATCGCCACCTTTTCCACCTCGCCCGGATCCACCATCTTCTCCATCCTTTCCATCTTGACTTTTCTTGCCATCTTCTTTGGTTTTCGGATCATCTTTACTTTCTTTCTGGTTGCCTCCTCCCTCTCCCCCCTTTCCGCCTTTGGCCCCACCCCCATCGCCACCTTTTCCACCACTTCCGGATCCGCCATCTTCTCCATCCTTTCCATCTTTTCCACGTCGCTGATCGTTCTCTTTTTCTTGACTTTTCTTGTCATCTTTGGCTTTCGGATCATCTTTAGTTTCTTTGTTGCTGCTTCCTCCGTCACCGCCCTTTCCGCCTCTGCCCCCTCCTCCGCCACCGCCACCACCCCCCTTTCCGCCATGGCCGCCGTCGCCTCCTGTTCCACTGCCTCCAGCGATGACACGACGATTACTTTCCTCAAGCGGATTAGACATTTTTTTACTGTATAATTTAGAGATTTTCAAACAAATATTTTGCGGTGAATTCCAATGAATTTATAAATTAAGTTCCATTTTCTCCAAGCATGATTATATTTTTTAATATTTTCCACAACATAAGTGGATTTTTTAATCTTACTCGATTTTAGATTAGGCTTCATAACGAATCATGCGGCATCACGCATCACGCTTCATCACCCTCCAACCGGTTTCCGTTTTTGCTTCAAATGATTTGATCCATTTTTTTGGTATTTCTGACATTGAGTTCTTGGTGTTTTTATTCAAAATAATTTTGAAGGGATATGTTAGGGTATTATCCATTATATCATTTCATGTGGGACTCCTGATTGCCATGTAAAAGTGAAAGTAATCGCACAAAAAGTGGAAGAGAAGTCAAAGAAATTTGCAAGGAAAAGTATGGCAAAAATTTCTGAAAAATGTATTCAAGAAAAAAGCAACAATTGGGGTCTTAAAACTAATAAAAATTCCAGAAAACTTAGCCATAAGTTGGTATATTTATAAAGTTCCAGTAAAGAAAATGACCTCCCACATCAAAGAAAAAGAGTATCTCCAAAAATAAAATGGAATAATTATCCCATAAATAAATTTCTCTCATATATGCAAATCGGAAAAAAAAACCCCTTTATTAAAAGTCCACTCAGGCCACGTTTTTGGACCATCTTTTAGGGGTATATATTTTAACGTAAAATTGCAATAAAAAACCATTCGACTGAAACCTTTGAACACACTGCACTCGAATACCCATACCCCGGGGGAAATTAGCATAATTTTGCATACATTTTATCGGGGCTAACAACAGCGGACAAAAAAGTTTAAAAATGTTAACCCACGCAATGGTAGAGGGGGAGGAGTGTGGATGCCGCAGCGGAATTGCCACGTAGGACTTTAATCTAAACGACTGATATACCTCCGAGTGGAGTGGAATATGTAACAAGTTAAAGGCAAACAACAGGCGACAATCCAAATGTCCCACAGCACGGAGAGCACGAAGAGCCCTTCCTTCCATGGCAATGGGCCCAAAGAGCTGGATTCCCCTCCTCTCATGCTAGCCATTTTTCCTCACATGCTACTGGTATCCCTTTCTTCTCTCACATGCTACTGGTATTCCCTTTGCCTCTCTAATGCTACTGGTATTCCCTTTGCCTCTCTCATGCTACTGGTACCCCCTTCGCTACTGGGTCATCCCTGGCCGTGTATACAATACATGACGGTACAGAAGCTCATGTACGCGACACAACAGGAAAAAGTATGCATGGGAAGGCTATGCATAGGCTTTCGATAGATAAGGCTGGCAGATATCCTTTAGTAAGAGATCAGCCTTAGAATAACTATTTTGAAATAAAAGCCAACAATCTGTACTGTGAAAAGGTAGTATCTAGATGAAAGTTGGTCTTTAGATGGAAATAGTCATTGGATCTTGATGAAAGTTGGTATTAGGAGGGTTAACCATTTCAAGTAGCCATATATCAAATTACATATATATTACGATATATATCTACAACTGTAGGACCTAGTACCATTTTGGTAGCTTTATAAACCATAACTATTCGTAAGAGTCTGTAAAAAAAGCTATCGGATCTTAATAAAATTGGTAGTTTAGGTAGATAATGACTTCATGAACTGATAATTAACATTTTAGCACTGTAGCTTAAGATTTGTCGAAATCATAAGCATTTTTGTACCTTCAAAGACACCTTTAAGATCTCTTGTTAATCCCAAGAACTAGATAATTATGTGAAAAATCAAAGAAAAAAGCTCTACCGATCGTTGAAAGATTTCTATACTTTTTGCTGAAAGATCATCCTCTACCATTCTCTACCAGATACAGGGTATCCTTACTATCCAAACTCCCACAGGATATGGGTAAAAGAAACGACGACCGAACGAGAGGGAAAACGGTTTGCGAACATCGCCATTTGCATAACAAATAAAGTCAGTAACTGAATCAACACACACACTCGAGCAGTGGATAGAGCATAGATTGAGGAGCAGGAGCGGGAGGGAGGGCGGATACGTGTCCTTGCAGCCATTAAAAATGCCAGCATATGTGTGCGAGTACAGGCTCACCCATGGGTTAACAAGTGCAGTCAGCGGGTTAAAAACAGCGACGCCCAAGCACTGTAAAGTCTGCCCTTTGTGCATGACTGACTGACGTGATGGACGAGCGCCCCACCACCTGAATGACAGACTGGAGGGACGGCTACTCTACGACCTGAATGGCAGACAGAGTGACTGACTGACTGACTGACAGACAGAGCGACCCATAGAATGACCCATAAATATTTGGTTGTGCAACAGAAAGAATAAATAAAGAAATACAAAAGAAACCATGAAAAATATACTACCGAAAAATTGTAAGGAAATAAAAGAAAAACTTAATGCAGCAAAAGCATAAAAAGGAATGCAAAAAATACCTCTCCTTAATGCCACAGAAAATTCTCAAAAATTGGGGGAATTCCCAGAACACAATCATGCACCCATTTCCACATCTCAAGTCTCTAGAAAACTTTAAAATTTCCTGTATAAGTCACATTTCTTTGGTTTGTGCTTTTTTATAGCCCTTTTAAATATTTAGAATGCTTTAGCTTTGTCCGAAAATATCAAATCTCAAAGGAGTACAGTCCTTGAATTATTAAGAGCCAAAAATTTCATATGCAAGCATGTGGCAGAAAAATGAGAGTCAGGGACAACACTGATGCAACTAAAGTCTACTATTAATATTAATGCTTAGGAAATTCTGAGAAATTTATCTTGCAAAAATATATGTGTCATAAAGGCAGATGAGTTCTTAAGATAAATATGAATTTATTATTTAATAACTGTTGCTACTAAAAAACTTGTAAAAAGAAGACTTGTGTTGTAGGAAATTCTTAGAAATATATGTAATGCATTTAGGAGTGCTTTATCTGATATTCATGGAAGATTTACTGAGACTAAAGCTACTTTAAAATAACGTAAAGGTTCCATAAATTTTCTGTGAATTTCCAAGAGTTTCAGGACAGGCTTTAAAAATATACTTTCCGCTTGGATAATTCCATTTTAATTAGTTGTAAAAACAAATCTATAATTACAGATAAATAACAGCACAGAAATTAATTAATTATACATTTTTTGAAGCATATTTCTACTTTTACAATGCCATTCGTTTATTAATTACTCAACAAAATAATGACCTGTCGAAACGATGATGCTTCTTAATGAATAAAATCAATTAAATTGTGAATGGCATTAATGCAAAAAGCTGCTGGGCAATTCTTGGATTATTAATTGAAATCATAAATCCGCTTTCAACACAGACAAATATCTGTTTATTCTTTTTTACAGCCAAACGACCACCGGTGGAGGAGACGGCATCCTTCCTTCAGAGCCTGATTGCATCGCATGGACCCAACTATTTGGAGAAGCTTTTTGGCAGCAAGGCCCGAGATGCCCTTTCCCCTCTGGGCGGCGTGGACAAGGTGGCCATCGCTTTGAGTGAATCGCAAACGATTGAGGACTTTGGTGCCGCCCTTCGACTAATGAGGTGAGTGATTCCAGTTCCAGGGTTCTGCTTGTGGCTTGGGGCTGCAATTTGTGTGGACACAAAAAACCCCTTAAGCATAAAGATACGAGTGTTTTGTCCTCCCCTATTTTTTGTTTTGGTCATACATAATTCTAATCCCTGTTCAAGTAAAACTTTTTGGCATAACCCCAAGCTATGGTCGGGAATCCTTTTATTCCTGTAAAACTATCCACAGAACAACGTGCTCCCCCCACCCCTAGCATTTCGGTGTCCTTGTCCTTGTCCTTGTCCCATGAATTATCTCTGGGTCCTTTCTGGGTGCTTTGTTATTTGTGTGGCTGCTGCTGGCACAATAACATTTTCAAGGGTTCAAGGCGACCCCAAAACACACACACAGAAAGTGTCATGAAATTTTCAAATATTTCATACATATTTATCATACTTTTTTCCCTCTTATTTTCTTATTTTCTCCATATTTTTTTTGGCTGGCCTTAGTTGGTGAAGAGCTGCTTTTGTGGAGCGTCTGCTCCTGCTCATGTAATTTATTTGGCTTTGTCCCAAGCAAACAAAGTATTTGTCATATCCTAATGAATTCAATTAGGAAATGTGGTAGGGGTATAAAGGTTCAGAGACAATCAGGGAAAGGCCTAGGGGATGGAGCATTTGAAGATGATACGAGTGGACTATCTCTCTATTATATACTAATGTTTTGGGTCGTCGTTGTGGCCCGATATTTTACTCATATCAGCGCGAGCCAGCGAGGCGAGTGAGCCAGTGGTTGGCGCACGAACGATGCGGGTGAGCAGGGGACACTACTCAGACCTTAGAGATTCTAGAGATCATTTTCTCCTATAAAATGCGGTACTTTTACTACCTTCAAATCTACGTTTTAAACGGCCTTCGTTCTTGTGCGAATCTCCATTCGCAACATGTTTTCCTAACTGCATTAATTATGCCCTGCCCCCTCCCAACGCCCACAAAACATATACACTCTCCCTCACGCATCTTTCATTTTGTTAAAAGATAAACAAAAGCTGAAATTTAATTAACAAAAATAACAACAAAAAGGAGAGGGAGCGAGAGGCAGAGGCCCCCAAGAAAAACACAAACTGAAAGAAGAGAATTTTCATTAAATTAGTACAACAAAAACTAACCACAAAATGGGATGGGATGAGAGGGGCAGTGGGTTTGTGTGGGGGGCAGGAGCTGGCAATAATAATAATAATAAAATTGTGAGGACCCCGACAGGAGGCCCCACTGACTGACTATGTACCAGGACTACGACCACCAGCCCGAGGGCCAGACAAAAGGACATGAAAATATTTGGCTTCACGCACATGTTGATAAATTAGCAAAACAACCCGTAAATGGATGAGGCACGTTGTTGCACGTCCGGTTTTTTACCTACGGTATTTTGCAGTTGGTTTATTTTGCCATTCACATGGTTCGTACAGGTTTACTTTGGCATTCATAGCATTTGTAGAGTTTTTTTTTCTGCCATTCACAATAGAAGAATGGCACAGAAGTGTATTTTGTCATTCACACAATTCTCATAGGTAATTTTGCCAATCACACTTTTCGCAATGGTTTTTTGTGCCATTCAAACTTTTCGCAAAAGGTTTTTGTTCCACTCACACTATTCGCATAGGTATATTTTGTTATTCTTACAATTTTCATTAGAACATTTTGCCATTCACACCATTCGGAGAACTATATTTTGGCATTCACTCCATTTGAATAAATAATTTTACCATTCACACAATTCGGACAGATAAAAGAAAGCTATAAAAACTTGTATTTAATCATATCTGTCTTCTGTAAAATGAGTAAACGCAATAGTTTGCCTTTCTCTCAAAAAAGCGGCGGGAAAAAACGTATTGTGCAACAAAACCTTACAAAAACCGCTGAAAAACAAAGTAAGATATAGTAAGAGGAAGAGACGTAGCAGGACCTCACGTAGGTGTTGGCTGTCTGGCCCCTCACGCCATCTTTTTCCCTTTCCTTTGGTGTTTTTATACAATTTCATCAACGCAATTAATCGTCCAAGTGTCATAATGTCATTCTCCAAGAGGGAAAAAGATAGCAATGCAAAGAAAGAGAAAGAGGGCAGTGGATGAATGAACCCTAGAAGACAAAACCAAACCCGAATCCGAAACCCCAAACTCGAAAACTCGAACCACAAGACACGCACACGAATTTTATTAATGTGCATCTGCCTTGCTCGTTCCCTTTCTGTCTCTTACTCTCTGTGGCTATCTCTATCTTACTGTGACTCGTTCTCTGTCTCTCTTTTCCACTTACTTGTTAATTATGTTGATGATAACGAAGTTCATCCAGCAAAACAAGCAACAAGAAACATAAGAAAAAGGATGCCTAGATCGAAAAGTGCACACTCTTTTAGCTATTAATAGTATAGAAAAGATTGTCCGATTTTTGTGAAATTTTAGATATATGTATAAAAAAAACATATTCTACGTCAATCTTCAAAGTTTCATTAGTTTACGTTCAAAAATAAAGAAGTTATCCCAGAAAATAGATCAATATCTCTATTACAACTCATATCCTCCCTCTGTAAGGGTATAAAAAATACTTTGGGGAGTACCATAGATAACGAGAAAAGGGTGTGAGGCTATAGGGTGGATATGGTGGTGCCACAGAGCCAACAAACAACAGCTAGAAGCAACAGCAGGAATGGTTGCACGATACCTGCAGGGATTAATTAAGCAAAGCGTATAATTTGAAGCTCGCCGCAGCAAAGCTTAAACTTGTCTCCATGTTTGAGGGTGTGTGTGTGTGTGTGTGTGGTCTGTATGTGTGTGGGGGTGGGGCAGAGTAGCTTTGGCTTACTTTATAAGTTATACCATTAGGCAGGGGGTGGTACAGTTGAAAGAACATTGGTACGAGAGCAAGAGAACATGGGGTAAAAAGTTTGACTTGAAAATAATAAAAGTTTTTAAATAGGGTATGTTTATAGTCAATTGAAGGCTATAAATGAATCAAAAAGGGTATTCAAAAACGTTTAGGGTATTCATGAACCCCGAAATGGTGTTTTAAATGCATAACGCGGCGTGCAGCAGCACTCCTCGGCCTATGGAATGAGTCTCTGCTGCACAAGTGAGCTTCGACGGGGTTTTGCTAATGCCATTTTGATGATGAAATGTCCATGGCACTAGTTTCCAATATGATCTTTCATCAACATCGATTCTAAGGATAATACTAGCTTCAAGAAACTTCTGATGTTTCCGCCCTTCAAGCCAAGGATTCCCCCTATTTAAAGACCCCTCAAGCCACTCTTCGACCTCAAGCCACTGTAACATCTTGGTTTTGCCCCTCAAGGATAAACCCCAACTAAATGCCCCTCTGCGAATGGCACCCGCCTTTACTTTTCTTTGGCTTAAGACATTTACCAGAGAGAAAAACTTCATTTAAGTTGTGCAATTAATCTGGAAAGAAAATAATGAAAATAAATGCCATTTTCTTTGCAGATCCGATTTGGAACACTTGCGCTCCGTATTCATGGCTGTGGAGAACGGGGATCTGGGTATGCTGAAATCGCTGGGCATCAAGGACTCGGAACTGGGGGATGTGAAATTCTTCTTGGAGAAGCTGGTGAATACCGGCTTCCTTGACTGAGTAGCGCCAGATCCGGCTTCTGGATTTTATTATGCCCATGCACAGCCCATCAGTCCTAATTTCTATTCGTATTTGGGTACGCCCTATGATAATTACAATTATTAAATGCGAATGCACTCACCGAAACACCCAACAACCACTCACCAAAACACTCATTTTCATTCCCATGCCATTAGATATTTTCTCAAACTTTCTTTATGCTTTCTGATTACTCTCTTCTCTCTTAAATCTCAATTTTCCTTTCCTTTGCTATAATTTTTTTAATTTTCCAAAACTATTTTATATTAAAACAACAAAAAAACCAAAAATCAAACAAAACCAAAAACTAAAAAAAAAAATTGCAAAAAAGCCACCCAAAAAAAAATTATAAAAAAAAAGAAATTTAAAGATGTTAAAAATAGAAGAACAAATTCGGCTGCTTTCTCTTAAAATTTCAGCGCTTTTTCCTACACTTTCTCCTCGACTTTCTCTCTCTGAATATTTGTTGCAATTTCCATTGACGATCTATACATTTATTTTTGAGAAAATCAGTGCGCAAATTTCAGTAAAAGAAAAACAAAACAACAAAAATCCTTCATGAGAACTAAATACCAAAAAAGAATAAAATATGGAAGCAGGATCGTTTGGCAAAAAAAGGAAAAACTTAAAGTAAAAACTATGAAAAAAAACTACAAAAAAAAATACAAAGAAAACAAAAAATACCTTTCTGAAACATATATACCATATATATTGAATATATTGATTTTTATTGATGTATATGTAATACTGTTTCAAGGCTTCTTAGATCCGTAAAGTAAACCTATGATCACTTATGGTATTCACGAAACTAAAGTCCCTAAATGAGAAAAAAGGAAACCTCAATGCAAAAGACCTTCAGTAAAGAACCTTCCACTACAGAATCTTCTATGAACTTTTATTCACTCTTTTTTCCAAAATCTTAAACTAATATTAAAACTTGACAAATTTCTTTAGTTTTTAGTGTTTAAAAAAGTAGAAGAAAAAGCCCTGCAGCTAATCTACTAACCCCCCAAACAAAATAGTATGAGAAATACGAATATATTACGATATCTAGGTAGATATATATCCCATATAGTATATCCAAATGTCGAGCTACTGTGCAAAAAATAGAGGGGAAAAGGGAAAAATACATTACGGAAACCGTTTTGAGTTGCATAATTCACGAGATAAAATATATTTATGTGTGTCTAAAAAATATAATAAACGAAAACTTACGAATATATATTCCATAAAAAACTCAAACTTTACTCAAATTCTTAACAAACATATTTCTTAGAAAAAAAAAACATTACAGAAAAAACACCGACAATTTGTAACCAAAATGAGATTCGAACAATATTTTGAGAGCCAATTTCTGTTCAACCAAAAACTGACCCAAAAACATTTGGAAACTAACTTGAAGAAAATCATACAGAAATTGGTTCTCAAAAAAAAAACACACTCACACAAAACACTTTTCTTTCTAGTTCTAAGAAAAGTCTATTATTCCTTAAAATTATTTCAAAAATGGAGCACGGAATTGTTGAAAAGAAAACTATAAAACAATGGAAAACAGAAAATTTGAGTAAAGTGAGGATTAGAAAACGAAACCCAACGTTGAAATGGAAATGGAAGGAAAATTTTAATGGAGTTATAAGTACCTTGAATTAGCTGATAGATCAGAACCACTAAAGTTATTTATTCGAGAAAACTTTTTATCAAATATAGTTGTCTATTAAATAATATTTATAAAAAATACTTAATCAAATAAAACACTTAAGCAAATCAAGAGTAACTATTACCAGAAGAAAGAACCGATTAAAACTGATCCATTGAAATATATATACATGATATATATGGTATATACGAGTGTTAAAGGCCCCATGTAAATAAAGAGAAGACAAACTACGAAATTCCATAATCGATGCAAATGATTTAAGAATGGAAAACCGAAGGAAAAGCTGAAGGAAACCGAAGAAAACCACAAAAAAACCGAAAAAAACCAAAAGTGATAATTTTGTGTTTTTTCTTTGGTTTATTTTCAACTTAATTGAAACTTAAAATAAACTATAAAAAAGCAAAGATGAAAATCTACAAAAAATAAATGTTTTCACTTTGTGAATATTTTTGAACAATTTTTAAAAAATATATACAATACAAATTGTAAGCCACGGAAAAACTATATCGCAAAACATATCAGCAGATCTGATCAGATCAAGAAAATTATATGGTAATACAAAATATATGCAAACATATCAAGTAAAAAACACAAACAACAAAAAACATATCAAATATGAAGTGGAAAAAAGATGAAGAAAAACTTAAAAATCAAATAAAATTAAGCGAAATACGAATATATTTATGAGTAAAAAACACACCAACGGAGATTTCTTAATCAACAATTTTGATTAGATTAGATTCATAATTTCTAATGATATTTGTATTAGTTTTTGTTCTTTATAAAACATTTGTAACTTGTTTCAGGGTTTTAAACCAAAACTGACCCATTGAACTCTTAAAATCCTGAAACAATTCTACAAAAATTTACCAGAAATATAATTTATAATACTAAAACAAAAAACATAAAACTTAACAGCTTTTTAATTTATAATTTAAGATTTCTTTTTACTTTTCGAATGATTTCCCTTGACTTTAAGTTGCATGAAAAACTAGCAATGTTACCACCAAAACAAAAAACAGTAACAGATACACCAGAAAATAGTTGAAAAATATAGAAATATATACATACATATCTTAAAGAGGAAACACACACTAAAAACGTAGAATGCAGAAAATAGACAGATAGCAAAGAACAAGATACTACTCGTACTCCAAAAAAAGCAAACAAGAGACAAAATTGCTCTTCAAAAATCAAACAAAAAAAGGTATATTATATTCATAATTATATACGAAAATATACATACATTTAATGTTTGAAAATACACTACAAGAAGAACTACATACTATACAAGAAATCTATGTGTTATAGAAAATATAGATTACAATTCAACAACAAACAAACAAAACATTCAAGAAACCAACAGAACAGATGAAAAAACTAACTTAAATAAACATTTTTAACATTCCAATGAAGCTATTTCTTTGGTGTGCTGTTTTAAAAACAAAAAAACAAAAGAACGAAAACGAAATATGAAATTGTGTTTTTATTTGGGGAAAGGAATGGAAAAAATTCTCTGGTAAATTCACGTAACTTCGAAGAGAGACCTACATACAGTCCCTTTTGGTATTTCAGAAATGAATGGAAAATTATATTCCATTGGTAACTTTATGGAGAAATTATGGTTCACTCTTTGAGGAATAAAATATCACTGCTTAAGGGGATTTTTTATGACTTTTTCCTACCTCAAGAGACATTCTGCTTCCAAAGATAAGTCCCAGGTCTCTGGCATTTCCTATACAGATACGAATCATATTGAGGAAGTCATCTAGAGACATATATAGATAAAGACTTTAGACCCTCAACGCTCTATTTTCTCACCCCACAGTCGTAATATTTGTGTTTTTATTATACGACTGAAGTGCATTAATTAATTGAAGGAATTTTTTTTGGGGAAATACTAGGCGACGGTCGCATATCTTGACTTGTGTTCTACCTGAGCGATAAGATACATATACATACAATATATGTCTCTCTCCATCTCTTTCCAGCGATTACTTTCGCTGGAGAGGGAGCTACAGATAGCACGCGCCGCTCCTCTCACTGCAAATACGAATACGACATGGAATGAATGTCTTTATATTCTAATCAGAGAACCTAGAATGTAGATTTGTTGTTGCCGATAGCCATTATTTGCTCTTGATTAGCCAGAAAAAACTCTGCCTCTCTGGGTTCTATGGAGAGACCTTAGTCGTGTTTTAGTCGGAAGTCGGTGCGGAAGGTCTCGAAGAGTCGTCTGCGATTCGGTTTTTTGGGTACGGGCAATCCCTTAAGTGGTTTCCACTTAACATATTAGAAGAAACCTCATAAAGATAGTGCAATTTTGTGGATGGAATCATTTTTCTATATTCCCTTAAGTGCCTGTGACTCCATACGATTCGGTTACGTATAGTAATACCAATAAATATCATCAATTTCGATGGCCAGACTGCTTGGGAGTACCCTTGAGGACTTCTCATCTATTGCAATCTCCTTATCCGACTTGTGATAATGCAATTTTGGGAAATATTCACCTGCTGATATCGTATATTTCACTGGTGCCTAAAAGTTTGCTATAGTGCTCCTCCAATAAATTGCCGAAATCCCAACTGAAAAAGTGAATAAGAATTCCCCAAAAAGTGTTCTAGAAAGTGACCTTTGGGTCATACAAAAAGTGAACCATAATTCCCAAAGAAAAATTAATCTATAAGTTCCTGAAAAAATGCACAATGCCAGCGATTATGATTCGGTTTACAGCGAAGAGGATTACCAGAACACCGTCCAAGGAGCCATAACACCTCCACTGATGGACTACGAAGAGTTCCGAGTGAAAACCATGGGTAAGAAGTCTCTGACTACAGGGTATTACCGTCTCTCGGGGACGTCTAACCCCTTATCTAGTGTTTGTTATGGGATTTTCTACCCACGAATTCTGTTCAAGATATGAGAACTTTGATAAAATGCCATTGCGGAACGAAATTTTTTGCGAATCGGGGTGTAGATCTACAAAAACAGTAGCGGAGGCGGTATATTTTCTGAGGGGTGTCGAAAATCATTAAAAAAATATAAGTAAAACTCCATAAATACCTTATTTACAGAATATTCCAGGTGCGTGATAGTATAGACCTTAATGTTTACATCACAGACCCATATCTTGACCCTTTAAAGCCCATCGTTTATTGATAATAATTAATTAAGCCCATCAATTCTCACTTTAATTAAAATGAAGGCCACAATTCCAATCAGAGCGATCATTTGATCTCTTCAATTTATTCCCATTCGATTCCACTCTCTTACAAACTTCTCTCTCTCTCGCACTCTCTTTCTGATACAAATGGAAATGAAACATTTAGAGCGCGCTCTCTCTTAATCGGTAAAACTCATTCCAATTACAAGCTAGATTCTAAAAATATATACCAAAATTGGCTAAAATCGAAAATAAATAAGCTTACCTAAGCATTTGTAAAATGTTGTAATAAATTCCACTAAATAAAAGCTATTTTACGACAAGCAAGGTTCCAATCGGACGCCTACTCACTACTGCGCTGGCGCGCGCGAGCAACGAGAACGATTAACCTATTATAAGCCAAGGGGG